TTAAGGAACTTCGATCTTATGAGTACCTTGTAGTCACAGTTCATGATAATTCTGAGTTATTTATTGGTGCAGAATAGTGGGAAAATGGTGAAAAAAAGCGAAAATTGTGGTGGTTTTTAAGAAATATAAGTGGTAAGATAGGGGGTTGCTCGAGAATAGGTGTCTCTAATCGTCTGGGTGTCTTCTACATAAGCGTACCATTCATTTGCGTCCTATTACTTCACTGTGAGCTCAGCATGGTCGTCGTAACACGGCCTCTTTTGGGAGTGTACGTCGGTCGATCCGGTTTTGGATCCTCCCTTATGACGCCTTGTCGAGATTGTTCTCGGACTGGCGCCGTCCCATGTGCTATCAATGGTGACGCCAGATTCATCCGAGTAGGACGTTTCAGATACATTTTTTATTGAACTGTTTTGAGAATATGCGTGCTGAACAAGATTAGTCACCCCGCTTGAGTTAAACTTTAGAATCGTTTTTCCGGCATATAATTTATATCAGCAACGTAAAATCACCTTCTCATTTATCGAAATTATGATCGTATAGTTCTGCACCCTATTAATAGGAACATCCTTGGGAACGATAGCTTTGCATCTGGATTGCCTGGGTGATCAACTTCCGGCGCCTTCACAGCAAGCCCTCTCGGAGTGGAAGTCTTGGCGTAGGTCCAATGCAGGAATAGAAATTTTTCGAATTATTGTGATAATTTGATGAGAATGATATCACTGGAAGGGCATCCGCTCAAAATTCAACTGCTCCATTCAAAGGTTGGGGCAGCGATTCCAATAGTTAAAAAATTTATTAATTTTTTAATTTTTTAAGGTCCTTTCGCACTCAATTACGTGGAAATATTGGTCATTGAATAAGAAGTACAAATGAATATAGAGTGAAACTGATCCTCGATTTTTGAATTGAACGAAAAANTTGATGAGAATGATATCACTGGAAGGGCATCCGCTCAAAATTCAACTGCTCCATTCAAAGGTTGGGGCAGCAATTCCAATAGTTAAAAATTTATTAATTTTTTAATTTTTTTAGGTCCTTTCGCACTCAATTACGTGGAAATTTTGGTCAATGAATAAGAAGTACAAATGAATATAGAGTGAAACTGATCCTCGATTTTTGAATTGAACGAAAAAGATCAATAAAAAATACAAGAAAGAAGCAGAGAATGAAAAAGGAGGAAAACGGGAAACTCCTTCAGTTCTGTTTTCAGATCCACTTGAGATTCCAAAATCCTGAAGAAGGGCTTACAAAGGAACGGATGAGTTCGTTCGGTTTACGTCGGTGTAATCACATGGTAGTAGTACGACTGTTAGAATCAGCTCAGAGTTAGTTCAGTAGTAAGTGACGTCGAACTGGGTACAGTACACACTCACCGGATCGGATCCCATCCATGCAGTCCAACATCGATAGGTTTTCCAGGTGGGAAAACTGCTATCAAACTTATGCACTGAATTTGATAGAGGGTAATCCCTTTTCTTCGACAATCCCTCAAACATTCGTGTGCTCATTTGGACCACAATACGAGTAACGGACCTCAAGAACAATGTTACCGTCAACTCATAATTATGAATATTGTTTGAATAATAAATGAAAGAAAAAGGAGAGAAGCACTATAAAAGATGAGAAGCGCAATTATGAGGCTTCAGGCTTAAGTGTCGCTTTCATTTGGAATCGTTATCCGTAGCGGCCATCTTTGTTCCAATGTAGTAGTTGCTTGGTAACGCTTTACATAATTATACAACCGGTTGCCGAGGTGAAATGCGAAATCAGGGAAGATATCAATGCATTCATGTCATCCATGTCTTCATTCCGTAAATACTACCATATATAGACGGTTAAAGGCACAGCCAACGATAAAAATGGTTCCTGAGATTTCCCCATAGGATGAATTTATGTCCTGTTGTATACCATATGGGGCGCTATTAGTTCGGAGAACGGTTGTTTAGAGTATATAAAGGCTCAAAGATTGGATCGTGTCGGACGAGTTTCACCGGCCTTGTAGAGGATGCACCGATCACAAGCGAATCCCTGTAGGAAATTCAAATAACTTGGCATGACTGATAGCGACAGCATAAGGCAGTTCTGTACAGTTTGGCTTGGTTTAGTTAGTTCTTTGCGCAATTGCAACAAGTGAAATCTCGTCCGAATACCTTTTCCATGTTATTTCCAGGATGCCGGAACTTCTCCCCTAATTCCCACGGCAAGCGGCAATGGTCACGCGGCGGCTACCCTATCCTTGTGCTGGGAATTCAAACATTTCCCTTCAAGCGCGTGACTGCGCGCGATCGGGTACGGTGAACGCGACGCCGTTTTCGGGAGAAGAACCGGACCATTATTTCCGTAATGGTAATCTCGTGCAACCTCCAATTCCACTACTTTTGAAGAGCCATATTTTTCGCGAAATCGGCCAACTCTCTCGCTTTCTTCGCTACTGTTCCCTACCTATACTTCAGCTTTTCAAGGGAAGACGGGTACCACAAAATTATAGTGATATGTGCCTTCAAGTACATACTTCACCCTGAGCGAGTCTTTCAAGACGTTATGTTGTAGACGTTGTAGATCTTTGAGTGTTTAATCATTCACAGGTACATCGCAGTGTTGACGTATCCAACAGCAGTGATTGGCAGAACTGTGGACGCTCGAATGTTTCCGATGCGTGAAACATTCCCCACTTTGTGTTTAGTTGTACCAATCGAAACGTAAGTGATACGAGGCGATATGGTTGGAAAGGGCAAGGAGTTAGCTTTACCCGACCAGCTCAAACTATTCAGGAGCGGAACCACACAACTAGTTCTTAGTGTTTCACTCTTTTAACTTTGCGATACGTTAAGGGTATCTAGTAGATACCAGAACTTACAATGTAACGGCATAAAGCAGAAAAACCTGAGTAAAATACGACTTGGGAAAACCGAAACCGACAAAATAGGGTTGAACAGTGATCAGGACGTGATTGAGGGATTCAGTGATTTAATTCCGCCTCGATTGATGTTTTAGGGCTGTAACAGGTAGCAAAGTAAACATACCACACTTATTTTTTTGCTTTAGAACCTTACGGGAAATATCCTCTCTGGTCGAGATCTGCTCTGTAGGCCTACTACTATCTTCTGACGGCTGACTGATGACTATATTCTAATCGCGTTTGCACCTCAACCTTGAAGGACAATCGAAGGTCTGAGCTGATTCTGTAGGCTCGAGATATGAGTGATGGATAAATAAGAAAGAAAATAAGTCGATCAGATTCTCATAAAGATTAAATCCCCTGGGGACCTCGTGGTGAAGTCGGACATGTCATCATATACATCAAATTCCTCTGTACCCTTTGCGTTCAGTAAGTATTCCGAGTCGGTCCCCCACTTCAACGTTTTGAAGAGCTGTAAAGGGAGTGAATTAATGAGTAATACGATTGATGAGGCCCCACGAGGAGCAACTCAAAAAGTGAAGAGCGATCAAGTACTGTCAACATTGAACTTTGTCAAACACAATTGAATTACTAGTTCCCAAATCATCCTATATGGGATGAAACCGAACCGATTCCGACCAGATTAAATGCCGTATGAACGAATCCGATCAACAGATACCCCCGATAGCGGATGATGAACCTTGACGGATGTTCAGCAGAGGGAATGTTCCTGTTGTATCCAACATCCGGTTCAGTTAAGTGGACGACATAGCTGACTGCACGTGTGTTTCTCTTCAGAGACCCCAACTTTCGTTGGTTCTGAAAATGAATCAATAACCTATGTGTTATTCTTTTGGGCTAAGCTTCGCGACACACTTTCATTCCCACTGAACCATATCGGTGTAGACATTCATTTTATGGAACGTTGTCTACCCATGGTGGATTTGGCAGAAATAACTTCGATAGAGCAGAATCTGGATACCATACCGTATGGTAGTGTCGCCGTCAGACTTTCTATAGCCGTTGTGCAGTTCATATTCAAACTTAGCTTATCTTATTTGGAATGATCAATGAATGACGAATTCAATAGGAAAAGCCTACTTCTTGACACAGACAGTCTAATAATAAACGGCAAAGTCTTCGACTTATGTTAGTTGATCCCGTTTGAGGATCGCCTCCTCATTCGACTTCTGCTCAGAGTCGTAGTTAGCGCGTATTAGTCGATACAATCACTTCTAATGACCAATTGATGTACAGGTCACCCCGAAGAAATTCAATCCCTGGATCGCGAGGGACCATTACGCTTTTTCTTCCCACGACTGCAGCTCACATGTGGGCTTCACGATATAACGTGTCCATTCTTTTGAGTCTTTTTGCGTATTTTTGTTTTTTGACAAAAGCGCTTCATAGTCTTAAGAGGCACAGTTCACGATAAAAATGGCCTATGAGATTACCCCCACAGGATGAATTTGAGGCCTCTGCGTATACTATATCTGTCACTGTTAGGTCGGAAAACGGCCCAGTTAGGAAGATATAAAGGCTCAAAGACTGACCCGGGTGTATCCTCGGACGAGTTCCACCGGTATTGTAGAGGCTGCACCGATCACAAGGGAACCCATGTAGGAAGTCCAAACAACTTGTCATGACCCATAGCGACAGTGAAAGACAGTTATGACCAGTTCTGGCTTGATGTGGTCAGCTCTTTGTGCAATTGCAATAACTGAATCTCGTCCGAATACCCTTCCATGTCATTTCCGTCATTGCAATCTCGTCCAACATCTATTTTCCCTACTTTTGAGGAGCCATATTTTCAAGAAATCGGCGAATTCTTTCGCTTTTTTCGCCACCGATGACTGTTCAGAATCTATACTTTGGTTTTTAGAATAAAAACGGGTACCTCAAAATTATCGTGAACTGTGCCTTCGAATCTTGAACTCAATGACATATGTCTGGCTGTCGAGGGCTTCTAGCTTTGCATCTATCTGATAACAGTGAATGTGCTAATGGCGTCTTTTCAAAATATCCAATTTTTCGAAGTACGGTCAGGGTAAGGGGGACGTCCGTTATGCCATCAGTCGGAAGTAGGTCATCAACCTACTTCCCGCGCAGCAGTGCCCACTACGACCTCGCAATGACATTACACTACCACCAAATGTCAGTGTAGCGATTGTAAGTGTAGTGTCAGTGTTAGTGATTTGTACTAGTCCGTGCTATCTTCCCTTTGAGCTCACTGCCGTGAACCAATCGCAATCCGTATGCTCCAATGACACTGCGACGTCCGTCAAGAACCGCGGGTTGACGCGCCGCGAGCAACGACTGCTACGTGACCCAGTTTTGACGGACGCGTGAAACGATGCGCACCTTTATTTGTAATCAGCGCATAAGACGCATGGGTCCGCCTGCCGCAGAAATTTACTTAATTTTTTCAACCGCCGCGAAAAGAGGAATGAGAAATTTTCAGAAAAGCCGCTTACATGGCGCAAGCAGCAATGGGCAATGATAAACGAAGCAACTTTCGAACGAATGGTAGGGCCACGGACGAGTCAGCGCTCCTTTGCTATCAGTTGCGTTTGCCCGTCATATAAGGGATGGAGCGCTTGGTGTCTTTTTGGCAGATATCGGCCGCAATTACCTTACTTGTGGGAGTGGCGCCACTATCACTACCTCTGTACACCTAAAGACAAAAATGTTCTTGAATTTAATGTGAGTTAACAGGGTGAAGGTTGCGTAGTGGCAAGTGGCGCCCTATGGCATATGCATGGTCACGAGCTCGATATCCGCTTAGCGATCGGTTAATTGGTATCAGATTCGCCTGGGAGGATAAAAGCATTGACTTGTACATCGACTGACCACCATTAGTCGTCGTATAGGTCTCACATACATTTAAAGGCACAGTTCACGATATTTCAATGGGTGGGAACGTCGGTGGCTTTCCCGCCTCTCGATCGATTCGCGTCAGACGAGTGTCGAGACAATACAGATTGCTATTATTCGTTCTAGGACCCACGCACAATCAGCAATCGCCGAGTACTGAGGCGATGTTTTTCTCCCATACTTTTTTCCTCTGTTTTTCTTTTTGCTGCCGCGATCCCTTATTTAAATACCTAATCCCAGAGGCTGAAAAGGGTGAGCTAATTTTGCTGTTACTAGGGTTTTTTCGTTTACTTGTGCTTATAAGTGAATGAGTTTTTGTTTACCATAGTCTATTATTCGCACCGGGACCCACACGTACGCAGTGAGACACATTGTACAGCTCGCAAACGCCTCATTCTTCTTCATTTTTCTGGTCAGATTTTCGTCCAGCACCCTTTTTAACGGTTGTTCGAAGCCTTTTTTCACTTTGGAAACATCGATTCACGCAGTTTCTCCATCTTCATCGCACTATTTTCGAACTTGTCTTCCATTTTTCATCATAATCTGGACTACCCAAAATTATCATGAATTGTGACTTTAATACGTCTCTACGATTCTGAATGGAATTCGAATGCGGGGCGTATCTCTCAAGAATTGGCAACGCCCAAAAACTTAATCCTTTGACATGAATTAACGTGTATATGAGCATTTTTATAAACAGGATATGGAAGCCACGTCAATCGATATGTGGTGATGAATGGGGTTACCTGATACGTTCCCCATTCAGTAAGGTTCACTTTTCATCGTCCTCATCGTTATGATGTTGTGCTTATACATTGTTCTCTCGTTTGTTGGACTATGTTACAAAGCGGGGCGAGCAGAGGAATCAACGGATCCGTCAACTGTCTCTAAAACACCAGAATCAGCAAAGATAGAGTTACCAGAAGTCAAAAGACCTGAAAAGACGGTATGTTCTGCCATTACTATGTTTTACCTAATTGGCAATCCCAATACGTGAGGAGTATTAGAATTCCTTTGCAGGATCAAGTCTTTCAAGCGTTCCCGTACACCATTAGCGAGCAGTTCGTAACACAAACCATGTCATACAAAGAGTGGGTTCTTCTTCAATTTATGCAAAATTGGGTACCTACATAGTCATAATAACGGAATCAGGGGAGTTTCTCGAAGATTGAACTGGGAGTGGTTCATCAAACTAAAACTGAGGTGTTCTTCAGTCTCACTGGGAGATATCTAGATAATCTTTGAAAGGTCGACGTAGTATAGGTAAGGTCAGAACCAAGTATTCACATAATATGCGAATCCCCAGTGAGGTTGATATGCTTGTTGATTCAGCTGTTCCGTTCGCTGAGGTGTACTACCAGATGGTGAGGAAGAAGAGTGGAGAATCTGCAGATCCGCTATCATAACCTTATCAATTACTTACTTCTCTCCGAAGCTGTTATCTTCGTGAACATTCATTCCCGGGGTAGCAACGTGTGCGGACGGCTCATTTCCTAGTTTTGATTCGCTCGTTCACAGTAGCCGCGCATCTTTAGAATGCCTTTTCACTCGTGGAATCAAGTTCAGGCAAAAGTCAATGACTTCTGAGGATGCACACATGTTCGCTTGAGCAAAGAAACGACAATGTTTTGATACACTCGCACGGCTGGAGCAAAATCCTTTGTTGTAACGCCTGACAGAAGGAGCAATGGTTGGACCATCTATCACGGACGTGGCTACAAACCTCTAGTTATGTGTTTTGACCTGGCGACCCGAATCGGACGCTTCTCATTGAAAAGACGTCATGTCACTAGGAAGAATGGTAGCTTTTTGCCGTCGGTCTCGAACACGCGAAGGGTACTACCTGACTTACGTCGAGCTCCTGTGACGAAATCAGAACACTCGGCTCACGTACCACTGCTTCCCTCTAAACAAGTGGAAAGCGATCACAAAATTCTGAAGGGGTATACTAGGTGATGTATCATACATGGTCATGATAAGCTCGCTTTTACCTTCATCAACCTTGAAGAAAAGATGGTCCTCCCTGAAGAGTCTTTTCAAGTCCACATAACGCGATTCTACTCAGTTCCTCCTCTTCATAGTTTGATGTTCCTGCGTAGAAACGAAGATTTTCTGAGCAGGAGTTGAGCTAGTCTTCTCAACCCCAAACGTCAGGCTCGGATTGTCAAGATTTCAAAGAATCGAAGTTCATGGCCAAATGCGTGTTGGTCAGCCACCTAGACCGCCAACGCCTCTGCGGTGCATGTTCCACAGAACATTCTTCTCCACAGAACAGCCTCAAATATCCTCACATTGACATACCGACACCTGCAGCGGCGCACAGATACCGGCACCAACATCGACGAACACCGACACACACACAGACACTCGCACACACCGGCGCCCACACCAACACACACGCACATACCAATACGAACACTGACACACACACACCGATATACTGTGCATATCAACACCCACAACGACACACGCGACATTTACGCACATAACAACACACACGAAATACCGACGCGAACACTGATATATATACACACACTGCATATACCAACGCGAACACAGACACAGAGCGACACACTGGCGCACACACACCCAGCACATACACCGACACACACACCCACACATGCAAGGGCACACGCACACACCAATGCAAACACTGACACACACACACACATACCGAAACACACCGATACACACTTCAGCATACACACTGACCCACACGCACCGACACACACGGATACATCATCACACACCGTCACACACCCACCAACACATGCCACATGCCGACACCTACTCCGACACACACGAATACACCTACACACACACCAGCACACACTGCGACACATGCACGAGCTCATACATCCACACATATGTGCGTGCCTATCAACACTAACACCGGCATACGCACACCAACACAGAAAGACCTCATACACGCCGACACATCCGAATGCACTAACACACATACACCGGCACGAATACATCAACGCGAACACCGGCGTATCGACACCCACTCCGACATACACAACCGACGCACACATCAACACACGCACCGACACCCACTTAGACGCCCACACCGGTACCCCGAATACACAAACACCCACACACTCCTACACATACATCGGATTAGGCACCAACACATATGTACGTGCATATCAATACTAATACAGACACATGCACACACCAACACACACTCCAACACCTACTTCGACACACACACCGGCACACGCACACCCGAAGCACACCCACACCGACACCAACTCCTATACACACACACCAACACACACCAATACCACGCCGTCACCTACTTCGACACACACCCACACCGACACACTCCTATACACACACCAATGCATGGCAACACACACACCGGCACCTACTTCGACACACACACCGACACACATACCGACACACACACCAACAACCACTCTTACACACACACACCAACACTTACACAGCAACACACACACCCACCGACGCACACCGGCACTCACCCCTATACACGCACCAACACACACCAACACACACCCACACCTACTTGGGCACATAAACCGACACCCGCTCCGACACACACCCACCGACGTCCACGACGACACACACACCGGCACACGGACGCACACCCACAACGATACTCACTCCTATACACACACACCAACGCATTGCAACACACACTCCGGCACCTACTTCGACACACACCCGACACACACACCAACAACCACTCTTACACACACACACCAACACGTACACAGCAACACACACACACATACCATCACACACACCGACACACATACACCGGCACACCCACCGGCCCATGCACCAACACCCGCACCAATGCAAACACCGTCACACACGCATACCAACACACAACACACGTCGGCATACACACAGATACACACGCACATGCCAGTGCGAACATTGACATACAGCGACACACACGCACAACCAACATACATCGACATCCACACCTACACGCACACACCCGCACACGCACACACCAACGCGAACACTGACACACACATACCGAAACATACCGATACACCCTGAAATACACACACCGACACACAAACGCTATCACATCCACCGGCACACCCACTTCCACCCGCACCGACGCAGACACCGTCCACACGCATACCAATACACACGCCGACACCTGTTTTGACACACACACACCGACGCACGCACACCATCGCAAACACTGATACACACACATACCGAAACACACCGATACACATTCCAAAGCACGCTCACACCGTCACCCACGAATACACCGACGCACAGACCGGCGCACACGCACGTGCCAACGCGAGCACTGACACACAGCGACACATACGCCGCCACTTACATTGATATACATACCAGCTCACACCGACACGCATACCTCATACACAACTTATGAACACACCTCAACACAATCACCGACCCACACACGCGCACGCACCGACACAAACTCCTCCACACATGGATGCACACGCAAGCATCCCATCCATTAATAGACCTGTATAGCGCCGAGGCAATCAGTTATTTTAGTATTCCCACTGCTTCTGAGCAATGTTGAACCATTTTAGCCCGCTGTAGGAAGCACAGGAATAGCTTCGAATATTACTACCTCACAATCATTTTTTTCTTGCCCGCGATCCTCTGGATTGCCAGGATTCATTTTTACAGATTTTGTCTGTGATTTGCGGCAACATTTTAATGTTGCCTTATAAGGTTTTGACCCTCTATTTCTGTTGCTACGCTGTTACCTTTTCCTTCATTCTCGTTTTCGTCAATACGTTCCTCATCTGTAAGCCATAAAAATGGCCCTGGAATGAGCTCACTCTGCATCTTCCATTGTTTTCACGGCGTTGATTCTGTTGGTGACCTATAAATTTAGCTCTTTATGTTCACACTTATTCAGTGATAATAATGCATTCTTTTAACATGCTTATTTAAGAGGATACCGCCAAGATGTTCCTCCTTACATAGCCATATATGACGCACCTTCATTTGATATCTTTTTCTACATTTTCCCTCCAAAGCAATGTGATGCGTAAGTTTCATTCAAAATGTTGAATTCTTGTAGAAACTGCTTAGTACAGCTGTTAGCTGTTATGTAGAGGAATTTTTTTCTTGCCTTCACATATCCGTTCACCCTAAACACTTGTATTTCTCACTTTGAGCCAACCAATTTCAGTGTGTGGCTTTGCTTCCCTAAAGTAGTGAATATCAGTGCTCAACATGTTGAGCAATTCTATGCTTTTAATGTGCACTCGGCCTGTAAAGAGTCCTTGCGTTTTCATCCACTTGAACAAATGGTTTACATCACAGGATTCAATAGGAAAACCGCCGGCCAATCAACTCCAAAATCTGGTAAGTATGCATGTCCTGGCTATCATTTATTGGGTTTTATACTTTTTATACTATCAGCTAGCTGATTGCTGTTTTTTCATCCCAGCAGCTATTATCCCTGGGACGTCGTGCATGTCATCGGCACACTTGTAGTTGTAAGGTTTTGCCAATTGTAGCGAGCGACAGTTGTCAGAATTGGTTTGTTCATTTGATTTTCTTGAGGGGATCCTAACCGTTGAATATCGTGTAGTTAACACTGAATATCGTGTCTATCCCCGTGCAACTAGAGCATTGAAATTTATTTGGGGAGGATAACGCTATGGTAAGTGACAGGACCCGGGCGGCGTTAGTGAGAGGTGGCAGTTTGGAATGCATCCAGATTTTCTTGGAATAAAGGTGGCAATGGGAGTGCTGATGGCAGGTGCCATGGCTTGACTCCGCCCATAGCAGGCGGTACATACGCAAAAGTGTTAGTTTCGGCCGGGGACGTTCAAATTTGGGACGATTGTAGGCGGCAGATTTAGGACACCAGTGGTAGGTATAAAGTAGCTGAACTGAATCCAGCCCGGCGTAAGGGGAGGGGAGGGGGCGGGCAATATATGGGGCGTGTGAAATGACCGTACTTTGAGTGAAAACGGTCAAGTTGATGTATGAGAGAATGAACCCAGCGTAGAGTCTATCGGTGTGTGTGTGTCGCTGTGAATCAATATCTCCCGTTTTCTTGGACCAGAGGTTCTGAACATGGGAAAGTGCAGGCGGCAGATAAACTTCAATACAACAAGGATCCGACTGGTTTCATTTCATACAGGAAGGAAGCTTTGAGTTTCCTCGGCTCAGTTCTAGTCATCAGTCTAGATTTTTTGCAACCTTACTTACATATGATCGCCATATAACGTGTGCAAGTCTGTCACTATCATCTGGGTAAAGCAAGCCTTCACGGAGATTCACTTCGTTCAACATGAATGAATTCAGAAATTTGGTCGGCAGCGGATTTGCCTTACAAAGAAAAGAAAGGACATTAGATGGCAATGGCCATTCAACGTGGGATGTATTCCCACACATGTGCTTTCGGACGTTAATGTCAGATCCACACTCCAATTCTGCGAAGCAACTCTGGGAACAAAGTTACGGAGGCATTGCTTCCTTGTGATATGGGATTTTGTCCAGCATGTCTTGAGGTCAAGTTGGTTGCGCAGATGTGAAGCGATCTCGTAAGAGGTAGAGCAATGAATGGACTCGCAGACTTGAAATCCAATGTTCCGCACCACATAAATGGACTTGTTTTACGTTTCCGTAAAACGCACGCTTGCAAAACAGTTTTACCCCTCTCATTGATTAGCTGCAGCACCCCGCTAGCTATAAGAGACAATGGAAACCGTTCTTCGTGCAACATGCCATATCGCCTTTTCTGGACTGAGGCGCATCCGAGGAAGTGCAATTATCATTTGTTTTGTTCAATGATACTTGCTCAAAATGAGTTGCCCTTATGTTCGCTAGCTTCACCGATTGGGTGCCTATGTGGTACCGCAAAAGCCGAGCTTCTTCAACGATCGACGATGTCACCACTTCCAGCCGGAAAACAGCTTTTGCAGACCCCCGAAAAGCCCTCTGACCCAGCGACTGGTTCTACTTTTTCTATTGTTAAGTACGAAAAGTATTAGAGTGTTTTAATTCCATAGCTTAGCATGTCCTTCACGATAACCTTCTTGACTACACTGTAGAGACGAAAAATACTGCTTCTATTCAACCATCTATTTTAGCGGAGATAGAAGATCCTCGTAATTCATGTTATTGAACAGAGAACAGAATGAATAAGAATTCAATGAAATTCGAAAGTTTTTTGACGGTAATCAATTCCGTC